CCTGTGAAGCATGGGTCCGGAAAACACAGGGCATCCATTTTTCAAAGCTGAAAAAATAGTCGTCTTGCGAGCAAACGGTTCACGAAGCACGGACCTAATCGACGTCCAGTGAAAATCCCCCATTGAAACGACTGTTTTGTGAATCACTATAGTGATCGCAAAAAGTCATCGTTCTCCAGTTTCGTTGTTCTGTGGGGTCGTCGTCATGCGGGGCACCACTGTATTCTCCAAGGAAATGAATATGAACTGCCCATGTCTAGTCAAAAAGCGAACACAGCTACTAGTTCTTGACTACAGCATTCTTATAACAGCCACATGGAGTGGAAACAGTTTGAGGAGACGTGATGGTGTAACTTTATTTTCCTTCTTTTCCTCAACTAGGCTTGAAAGACTGGCTTTTCCTGGGTGATAGCTGACAGAGTTGAGATTTGATGAAGGCAGTTTTTCAGCAGAACTGGTGGCTTGACCTTGCCTCCATTCTACTGTAGCCTGATATAGTGGCTGCTCATTATATTATATAGCCTCTCTCAGCACTGTATTGTAATGGCCTATCAACAGTTTGCACATTGTTTCCCCCACAGAATCCCATTTGATGGAGGCAGTTTTTCAGCAGAACTGGTGGCTTGACCTTGCCTCCATTCTACTGTAGCCTGATGCAGTGGCTGCTCATTATATTATATAGCCTCTCTCAGCACTGTATTGTAATGGCCTATCAACAGTTTGCACATTGTTTTCCCCACAGAATCCAGTGATGGAGAGTATGTATTTTTCCCCTTGTTGATTTTTTTAATTGCAATTGTTATTCACTGATGTTCCAGTGCATCTGTGTGCTTAGATTTTAAATAAGGACAGTGGGTGTTGATCTGTGCTCTGAATTCCCTTACTTGCAGACTTATTTATTTATTTACCACTGTTGCTCCTATATAAGGAATTCAGGGTGGGTTTGGAGGGTATACCATGTTCCATGATGTTGTCTGAATGAGAAAGTCATACTGTTAAAAAAGTTTGGTAAATAACTCTTAAGTTTTCAAAACCTACTTACACCAAAAGATTTCGTTGATTCCTTGTGAATGCACTTTTATCTGTGTGTGTCAGTATGATGTATATCCTGCCTTCCTCCTACAAATAGAACGCAAGGTATCTTCCAATTCAGAGGAATAAATAAAATAAAGGACATAATAAAAATCATCTGGTCCTTAGCAGGTCTGAAAATTAGGTAACGACAACCTCAGATGAACAACAACACATGACATATTACATTGTCTCATGATTTATTTAACAAAAACAAAGTCAAAATGAAGAAGCCATATGTGAAAAACTAAGTACACCTTATGATTCCATAGCTTGCAGAATCGCCTTTAGCAGCAATAACCTGAAGTAATCATTTTCTGTACGGCTTCATCAGTCTCTCACATCACTGTGGAGGAATTTTGACCCACTCTTGTTTGCAACATTGCTTCAGTTCATTGAGGTTTGCAGGCAATTTGTTCATGCACAGCTCTCGTAAGGTCCAGCCACAGCATTTCAATCAGGTTGAGGTCTGGACTTTGATTAGGCCATTGCAACACCTTGATTCTTTTCTTTTTCAGCCATTCTGTTGTAGATTTGCTGGTGTGCTTCAGATCATTGTCTAGTTCCATGACCCAATTTCAGCCAAGCTTTAGCTCTTGGACAGATGCTCTCACATTTGAATCCAGAATACTCTGGTATACAGAGGAGTTCACTCATGGTCAACTCAATGACTGCAAGGTGCCCAGGTCCTGGGGCTCCAAAGAAGTCCACATTATCACCCCTCCACCACCATGTTTAACAGTTGGTATGAAGTGTTTGTGCTGATATGCTGTGTCTGGTTTTTGCCAAATGTGGTGCTGTGCATTCCTTAGACAGCACAACAGACAAACCAGGTAGGACCTCTCTGTTATAGTAGCAATTAGTGACCTTTCTGTTCCACACTGGATTTAGGTGCAATCCTGCTGTTCAAGAGATGAGCTCTTTGTTGAAGAATAATTGTTTTATTAAGAAAATAAAGTAGTTCCATTAAAATACAGTTGCAGCTTTAAAGCATAAAGCAAATACATATCCGATCAGTTACTATGGTTCAAATAAGCTTACTATTCCTAGGTTAAAATAATAACTAAATCTATGTTAAGTAATCATTTTGGCAAACATCCTACATCTTAGCATTCTAGAGAAGCTGGGCAAATCTCTCCCCCCTCTCTTTTCTCTCTCAAAAGACAAACCTCTCTCCAACATCCACCTCAACGTGTCACATACATGAAACAACCATTTGTCTACATGTCTCTGGACCACCACCTTTCTGACACTTTCCAGTTATTAACCAAGTAGGATTATGAGGGTGTAACACAGTTCACCACCCATATTTCATATGAAATCTGCAGGTGGCTTATCTCGTCCCAGTTAGGAGGAATGCGGTGTTTGGTCTTCCTCTTGATCTTCTCAAACCTTGCTCCTTATCTTGGTGCCAGGCAGAGCAAATTTGGAACAACCGTATCCCATGAGAACATTCAGTGGCTTAAATCCAAACTACACAGGAAACTTAACAGACTCCATCTTTGTATGACTACAAGTCCCATATGCCTTCTAAATCCTTACAGCCACTATCTCCTTGCTTTAGGTGATAGCAAATACAAATCATCCTTCTGCATTTTTCCCTGATGGGCTGGTGGGGCGGGCAAGACGAGGAGAGTGCAGTACAGGGTTAGGGAATGTGCATTTTGGGGAGTGGGATAAAAATACTTTGTTCCTCTTCATTTCAGATCAGTGACCATGCTGCTTTTGTCAGTAGTTTGATCATTTTTAGCTTTTGTGCTTTTCTGACTCTTAGGAGGTGGACTAGTTGTATATTTTTTGAGAACTGTGCTTCTACTATTCACATCTTAGACTATATTAAGAACTTAAATTTTATAACAAATTGTATTCTCCCAAATGAAGTATATGTATGTTTTCACATGAGACAATTGTTTAGGTTCTGGTGGTCAGTGGCATTAGTTGGTATTAGGCAATTCTGACTGTAATTTATTTAATTCAGATTTTCTGTCCCAGGTGCAAATATCTGATAGAAGAAAAGGGCCAAGTCTTTGTAAACGACATTCATCTAACTCATTCACTGCAGGAGTCTACAGTAAGTGTTTCTCTTCTGGAGTTGAGATATTTCTACAAGGGATTTATTTTCAGATCAATGCTGCTTTCAAAGTGAAATTCAGTGGCCTATTTACATTTGTAGGAGGGGTTGAAGATGTGGCTGAAAAAAATTAATTTCTGTAGTAAAAGGTGCTGCTTTTAAGTTACTTTGGTTTTGTTTTCATGCCTGTGATGGAAAAAGCAAATAAGCACAAAGGATCCCATTTGCAAATTTGGGTCCTATTATTTCCTTTTTTCCCTTGTAAAATAAACAGCATTGGTAAGTGTCATTGTTATTTTTTTCACATGCATGCAGTTCATTGGATATAGAAAATAGAGTTATTTGGGGGAGGTGATGTAGTGTTGGAAATCTAATCAGAATGCAGTAAGACTTGCATGGTCAGCTTTTGGTAAACAAAGTAAAATTCTTAAGAACCAAAAAAAATCATTTTAAAATTATGAGCATTTGTTTATGATTTATGTGTGCTTCCAGTACTAACTTATGTTGCACATACTTTGACTCTAATAAAATCCATAATGGAAAGGTTTGCAAAACACAAAATAACAGTAGAAAAACGGGTGGTAAATATCAGACTAATGGATAAAGTAGAACATCTGATTATTCAACAAAAGGCAAAAATAGTAGGTGTAAAAGAACAAATAGCATAATTAAAATGGATATAGATAGGCCACACCGTAAGACAATACAATTGAAGAAGTAGGAAATATCTTTAATGGATTATTGTAGGGAAATTAAATAGATAACTAGCTTCCGATGATAATCCATCTTCCTCAGACTCTGTCCAAAAGTTCATGGCATAGTTATTATTAATGCCAGGCCAAATTTCCTTAAGGTGTGTTGAGCAGTATGCAAACAGCTTATGGAGGGTGGGTGGAAACTCCCCCCAATCAGCATCTTGGAATTTATCTAACATCTTTTCAAGACCCACCAAACAATTTGCATCATCCCTTCCCCCGCCCCCCCCCACAATTTTTTACAACTAAACCCTAAAACGGACGTAAACTGTAATTTATTTAATTCAGATTTTCTGTCCCAGGTGCAAATATCTGATAGAAGAAAAGGGGCAAGTCTTTGTGAACGACATTCATCTAACTCATTCACTGCAGGAGTCTACAGTAAGTGTTTCTCTTCTGGAGTTGAGATATTTCTACAAGGGATTTATTTTCAGATCAATGCTGCTTTCAAAGTGAAATTCAGTGGCCTATTTACATTTGTAGGAGGGGTTGAAGATGTGGCTGAAAAAAATTAATTTCTGTAGTAAAAGGTGCTGCTTTTAAGTTACTTTGGTTTTGTTTTCATGCCTGTGATGGAAAAAGCAAATAAGCACAAAGGATCCCATTTGCAAATTTGGGTCCTATTATTTCCTTTTTTCCTACAGGGAGAGAAGGATATCCTTCTCCCCCCTTGTAAAATAAACAACATTGGTAAGTGTCATTGTTATTTTTTTCACATGCATGCAGTTCATTGGATATAGAAAATAGAGTTATTTGGGGGAGGTGATGTAGTGTTGGAAATCTAATCAGAATGCAGTAAGACTTGCATGGTCAGCTTTTGGTAAACAAAGTAAAATTCTTAAGAACCAAAAAAAATCATTTTAAAATTATGAGCATTTGTTTATGATTTATGTGTGCTTTCAGTACTAACCTGTGTTGCACATACTTTGGCTCTAATAAAATCCACAGTTTTACAACTAAACCCTAAAATGGATGTAAGTCTAATTACTGCATGTAACCAATGAATATATAGACTGTTCTGCTTGTGAAACTGATATTTCATCCAAAATTTCATTTTATTTCCATATGTCTGACAAAGTGGATGTGTCCACGAAAGCTTACATTAAAATATAATAGTCTTATCTTTTTTTTGTTTTTGTTTTGTTACTTTGGATTTTGCCTAATATTTTTAGGAATTTCATACAATTGAAAAGAGTTCTTTGTGCTTTACAGTGGTAAGAAAGAATATTTTATAGATTGGCAACTTACTTTTGTACGTTGAGTTTAACTCAAATACTGCTCTTCCACAAGCAAAATATCCTTTCTTTTTTCTGAGTTACTCTACACTTTATATTGTAATGTTCTATGAGGAAAGTGAAAAATTCAACTCCTTAAAAATGCTGCTTCTTGCAAGAAGCCACAACCTTTTCATCTCTTTTCTGGACTATGCTCATTAGCAGCTATATTACCGTACTGTACCTGACTGTCCTAGAGTGAGAGATTGAACAATGTAACCTCTTTTGTTGGCCTGTATAGACAGTGTATGTCCCTGTAGTTTGACTCTTATTCCTTCCTATTAAATTACTTCCTTTTGCAGCAGTGGGTTGCAGTTGGTATGTCAGTTTGTTCCTCTTCCCCACCTTTACATTGTTATCTGTTATATTGTAAATCAGTATTTTAAGTTACTTAATCTCATTACTGGTTTGGCAACAAAGTGATAATATACAGGGAATATATAGTGGCTGGCTAGATAGCTTGGTTATTTAGGCCTCTGGTGGCGGAGCCAGACGTTGGGAGTTCTATTCCCCATTGTACCTCCTGTGAATATAGCCAGCCTGTGCAGCCTTGGAAAAGCTGAACAGTCCCAGGGCAGAAGGGAATAGTAAACCACCTCAGAGTACTCTCTGTCTGGAAACCCATCAGTTAGAATTGAGTGGATGGTGCATTAAAACCAACAACAACAATAACAACCCAGAGATCCAAAAACTAGATGGAGTAGAGTTAAAAAAATGGTGATATAAAATCATTGTCAAGTGATGAAAATTATAAATACCTTGGAATACTAGAAGCAGATAACATCATGCACACAAAACTTAAAGAACTGACAGAGATGGAATATATATCAAACTGTTGAAAAATCTTAAAATGAAAATTAAATGTTGGGAATACAATCAAACCCATAAACACACGAGCAGTCCCAGTAATTTAGATACCCAACTGCTACAATAAATTGGACCCAAAATGAATTAGAAGATTTGGATTTGTACAAACCGGAAACTGAACATGCATCACACACTACATCCAAAAAGTGATTTGGACAGATCACATTTATCATGAAAAATTGGAGGCTGTGAATTACATCAGATAGTTGAGGAAAAATGAAGCCTAAAAGGTGGTGAAAATGGGGAATAATTGGAAAACAACAGAAACAAAGGCACAATATATAAGAAACAACAATTTGAAAATAAATTAAACACTTGGAAAAATAAGTCACTACACAGACAACACCTGAGAAATGTTGATGGATGATAATAATTCAGTGTTTGCATGGCTGAAACTGGTGACTTTAAAAAAACCTATGGGAACATCAGGTGAGAAGGAAGCAGAAACTGATGGTGCCAAGATCCTATGGGATTTCCAGATTCAATCTGATAAAACATAACACACCAGACATAGTAGTAACAAAATGAAGAAATGTCTGGATTGTTGACATTGCAGTTCCATGAGATGCCAAAGTTGAAGATAAAAAAATGGGAAAACTAGCAAAATAAAGAGACCTAGCAAATGAAATATCTCACTTGTGGATGAAAGTGGTCCTTATTCTCATTGGGGCTTTGGGAACAATATCAAGAAATTTCACACAGTATTATAATCAGTTGCAGATTCCAGAAATGACAACATCAGAGCTACAAAAAA